TGCCCTTACCTCCTCCTCCCATTGCCCACTCCCTCTTGACTCTGGTCCTGTACTGTATGTGGTCATTTTCGCGCCTTGATTTGTTTCCAGTGGCTCTTGGTACATGGTTGTGCCTTCAGCATTCAACCAATCTCCGTCCTCCCTCATCCATCCTGCACCCATCTGCTCTTCCCATTCACTCCTGGCCCTTCTTGCAGGCTGATATACGCTTAGCGCATAGGTTCAAATCTCCTTCCTTCCCTGTTCCAAGCCTCCCCCCCTATCAGCTTCGTATGGTATGTCTTCTCTGGTTACTACCCCTGAGACTTGCTTCAGCCTGTTTTACCTCAAATTCTAGAACCTATACCTGCTACTGCAGTTTCGACTTGGTGCCTCCCAATTCTTCGTCTCCTTCTCCAACCTCTTTTCCCCATTTTCACAGAGAGTTCTCTTTCTCCATTTTTTCAGAAAGCATCTCCTAATTTTTCTCTCCCCAATTTCTTGCACTAAGCTAATCCTTTTCCACTGTTCCTCATCCATTCCTTCCCTACCAGTACCAATGTCAACTGATCCCTGATTCCCTGCGAGTCCAACCATTCTTTTTTTTTTTTTTTAATGAAAGAAGAGAGAAAGAGAAAAAGAAAAAGGGAGAGAGTGAGAGATAGGGAGAGAAAGAAGGGAGCTAGAAGGAGGGGAAAAGATAGGGAAAGGGGTAGAAAAGTGAGAGAGGAAAGGTAAGAGAGAGGGGGGAGTGACAAGGGAAGAGAGAGAGAGATAAAAGAAGAGGAAGAGAGAGAGTAAGAGAGGAAGAGGAGAGGGAGAGAGAGAAAGAGTGAAGGAAGAGAGAGAGGGATGAGAGAGAGGATGAGAGAGAGGATGAGAGGATGAGAGAGAGGAATGAGAGAAAGGAAGGAGAGAGGATGAGAGAAAGTATGAGAAATGGATGAGAGAAAGGAAAGCGAGAAAGGGAGAGAGAGAGAGAGAGAGAGAGAGAGAGAGAGAGAGAGAGAGAGAGAGAGAGGAGGAGGAGAGAGATGGGGTGATAAAAGAAGGGTATAGGGACACTTCACAGGAAGTGTAAAATTCCTGTATAAGGTTTGAGTGTCATATTGTGAGTGTGAGTGTCTGTAATGTGTGTGTGTGTTTTTGTTTTGTATTTGCGTTGATAGTTTGTGTTGTGTGTGTGTGTGTTTGTTTGTGTGTGTGTGTGGTGTGTGTGGGTGTGTGTGTGTGTGTGTGGTGTGTGTGGGAGTGTGTGTGTGTGTGTGTGTGTGTGCTACAGCTATTCAAGTGCCTAACTACAGTGCTGTTCTCCGCCTCAAGTGGTTTGTGCATGATGTTTATGTAACCAGTCCTTAATTACCCACGTAATGTACTTCAATTATTGTATATGGTACCCCGATCTCATGTTCCCACATATACTGTCTTATGCGTTTAAAAATTACTTTAAAAATAATACACTATGCTTTCGCCTATATGGCCACAACCATCTAAATTCTATTAACAGGCCAGTAAATGGCTGCTTATTCTAATTCTATACTCGAGGAGAGTGACCCCCAATTCCACTAGAGACAGTTACTATTGACCCCCATCAACTCAAACTAGGTGAATATTACTTGCGGCTGGCAAGTGGAGTAACCGTTGCAGTGTCTGTCCGTCCCAGAAGTTGAAGGGTGTTTTGAGCTTCTCGTTAATTGACCACTAACTTCCTGTATGCACTATATTCTCTATCTCTTCTTCTAATTTTTCACTCACTGTATTTACTGACACATCAAACATAACTCTTATCTCCCTGGTCTTGAGTCACACTTATTCTTCCAAATACCCCACTTGCGTATTATGGCAACACTATTTATGCTGACAACAACCGTTCACCCTTCCAACAGCCCTCACAATCCACTCCAGCCCAATATTTCCTTGTTTTCTTCCTGTGATCACTATATTTCTTTTGTCGGGGGGGGTCTTAAGTGATTATATTAACTCTTAGGCGTGCACGACGCCTATATCCCACATCTATTCCTTATGGCACAGTCAGAAATAACCACCAAACACGAGCGTCAAAACCGCGTACTCCTCCATGTTGTGTGTGTGTCAGTGTTGTGTGTGTTGTGTGTGTATTGTGTGTATGTGTGTGTGTGTGTGGTGTGTGTGTGTGTGTGTGTGAAATGTGTTGGTATTGTGTGTGTGTTTGTGTGTGTGTGGTGTGTGTGGTGAGTTTGTGTGTGTGTGTGTGTACTCACCTATTGTACTCACCTATTTGTGGTTGCAGGGGTTAATCACAGCTCCTGGCCCTAGCCTCTTCGCTGATGCACTAGGTCCTCCCTTCCCTCGCCTTGCCCCATGTAGCTCCTATCATAACCTTCTCCTTAAAACTATGTTTGGTTCCCCCTCCACTACGTCACTTTCTAGCTATTCCATTCCACGGCCTGACTACTCTATGACTGAAGAAATACTTCCTAACAATCCTTTGATCTTCTAGACTTCAAACTTCCATTGTTACCTCTTGTGTCTTGTGTCCCTTCCTGGAACATCCCATCTTGTCCACCTTGTCTATTCCTCGCAGTATTTTAAATGTCTTATCATGTCTCCCCATACCCTCCTTCCTCCAGTGACGTCAGGTCCGATTTTCCCTCAACCTTTCTTCGTAGGACAATCCCCGTAGCTCTTGTATTGTACTCACCTATTGTAACTCACCTATTTGGTTGCAGTGGTCGAGGTGTCCTAGCTCCTGGCCCCGCCTCTTCACCGTTGCTACTAGACCCTCTCTCTCCCCGCTCCCATGAGCTTTTATCAAACCGCGTCTTAAAACTTGTACTGGTCATTGCCCCACTTACGTCAATTTCTATGCTATTCCACTGCCTTACAACTCTATGACTGAAGCAATACTTCCTACTATCTCTCGACTCATTTTGTTTCTTCAACTTCCAATGTTGGCCTCTTGTTTCTGTGTCCCCCATCCCTGAACACCTGTCCTTGCCACCTTGTCTATTACCCAACGCAGATTTTTATGTCGTTATCATGTCTCCCCTGAACCCCCCTGGCCTCCAGTTGTTCGTCAGGCCGATTTCCCTTAATCTTTCTTCAAGGACATTCCCCTTAGCTCTGAACAAAACCTTGTAGCAAACCTGTACTTTACCTCTAGTTCTTGACGTGCTTTATCAAGTGCGGGTTTCCAAACAGTGCCTTCAAACTCCAGTATGGGCCTGCATACACGGTGTACAGTGTCTGAATGATTCCCTTACTAAGGTATCGGAATGCTGTTCTCAGGTTTGCCATGGGGCGCCCATATGCTGGCAGCAGTTATCTGATTGATGTGTGCTTCCGGAGACATGCTCGTGTTATACTCACCCCCAAGATCTTTCTCCTTAGTGAGGTTTTGCAGTCTTTGCCACCTACCTATACTCTGTCTGTGGTCATCTGTGCCCTAGCCCCTATCTCATGACTTTGCAATTTAGCAGATTAAATTCGAGAAGCATTTGCTGACCATGAGGTCCCTTCTGTCCAGGTCCTTTGAAGTCCCTGCCTGGTCCTCATCAGAATTTAATTCTCCTCATTAACTTCACATCATCTGCAAACAGGGACACTTCTGAGTCTAACCCTTCCGTCATGTTGTTCACATATACCAAAAATAGCACTGGTCCTAGGACCGACCCCTGTGGGACCCCGCTCGTCACAGGTGCCCACTGTGATACATCATTACGTACCATGACTCGTTGTTGCCCCCCTGTCAGGTATTCTCTGATCCATTGCAGTGCCCTTCCTGTTATATGCGCCTGATGCTCTAGCTTCTGCACTAATCTCTTGTGAGGAACTGTGTCAAAGGCCTTCTTGCAGTCCAAGAAGATGCAATCAACCCACCCCTCTCTCTCTTGTCTTACTTCTGTTATTTTATCATAAAACTCCAGAAGGTTTGTGACACAGGATTTGCCTTCCGTGAATCCGTGCTGGTTGGCATTTATACTCCTGTTCCGTTCCAGGTGCTCCACCACTCTCCTCCTGATAATCTTCTCCATAATTTTGCATACTATAACACGTCAATGACACAGGTCTATAGTTTAGTGCCTCTTTTCTGTCTCCTTTTTTTGAAAATGGGAACTACATTTGCCGTCTTCCATGCCTCAGGTAGTTGCCCAGTTTCCAGGGATGTGTTGAAGATTGTGGTAAGTGGTATGCACAACATATCTGCTCCCTCTCTAAGGACCCATGGAGAGATGTTGTCCGGTCCCATTGCCTTTGAGGTATCGATGTCCCTTAGCAGTTTCTTCACCTCCTCCTCATCTGTATGTATGTTGTCCAACACTTTTTGGGTTTGTATTCCTTGTTGGTGTCCCCATCTGGTCTGTCCCCCCAGAGTCCCCTCCTGTCTCTACTGTAAATACTTCCTTAAATCTCGTGTTGAGCTCCTCACATACCTCTTGATCGTTTCTTGTGAGTTCTCCACCTTCTTTCCTCAGCCTTATCACCTGGTCCTTGACTGTTGTCTTCCTCCTAATGTGGCTATACAGCAGTTTCGGGTCAGATTTGACTTTCGATGCTATGTCGTTTTCATACTGTCGCTGGGCCTCCCTCCTTATCTGCGCATACTCGTTTCTGGCTCTTCTACTAATCTCCTTGTTTTCCTGGGTCCTATGCCTCCTGTACCTTTTCCATTCTCTTTTGCACTTAGTTTTTGCCTCCCTACACCTTCGGGTAAACCAAGGACTCGTTTTGGTCTTCCTATTATTTCTGTTTCCCTTGGGAACAAAACTTTCCTCTGCCTCCTTGCACTTTGTTGTGTGTGTGTGTGTGTGTGTGTGTGTGTGTGTGTGTGTGTGTGTGTGTGTGTGTGTGTGTGTGTGTGTGTGTGTATGTGTGTGTGTGTGTGTGTGTGTGTGTGTCTGTGTGTGTATGTGTATGTGTATGTGTGTGTGTGTGTGTGTGTGTGTGTGTGTGTGTGTGTGTGTGTGTGGATGGGGGTAAATAGGTGTACAGTAGTACAATGATAGTCAAGATGGTAAATAAGTTTTCTCTTCTCTGCTAAGACTTTCGGGCTGAGGAGCATGCCAGAAGAAGTAAGTAATTGTGGTGTTTTGTCTTATATAATGTGGGATATTTTTCAGAGGTTTTGTTACTAGCTATGTCTTTTTTCTTATTAAGTTATACAAAATATTGAAGGCACTTGGGAATTTCACTAAACTCATTGATGGAAATGAACATTTGTGATATTTTATTTGAATTTGCACATTTATGGTGTACTGGATATCAAGAGTCATCTGCCAGATGAGTGAGTTTAGGTTAGTGCAGGTCTCTTGATTAGACTATGAGGTGAAGAAAATAACTTCATTTTATTATTTTATTATTAACACAGCGGCCAATTCCCACCAAGGCAGGGTGGCCAGAAAAAGAAAAACTTTCATCATCATTCACTCCATCACTGTCTTGCCAGAAGGGTGCTTTATGCTACAGTTATAAAACAGCAACATTAACATCCCTCCTTCAGAGTGTAGACACTGTACTTCCCATCTCCAGGACTCAAGTCCGGCCTGCCGGTTTCCCTGAATCCCTTCATAAATGTTACTTTGTTCACACTCCAACAGCACGTCAAGTACTAAAAACCATTTGTCTCCATTCACTTCTATCAAATATGCTAACAAACGCTTGCTGGAAGTCCAAGCCCCTCGCACACAAAACCTTCTTTACCCCCTCCCTCCAATCCTTCCTAGGCTGACCTTCCCTCCTTCCCGCTTTCCCTCCACTATGGATTTATACACTCTTGAATTCATTCTGTTTTGTTCCATTCTCTACATTTCCAAACCACCTCAACAACCCCTCCTCAGCCCTCTGGATAGTAGTTTTGGTAATCCCACACCTTCTAATTTCCAAACTACAAATTCTCTGCATTATATTCACACCACACATTGCCCTCAGACATGACATCTCCGCTGCCTCCAGCCTTCTCTTCGTTGCAACATTCATCACCCATGCTTCACACCCATACAAGAGTTTTGGTACAACTATACTCTCATACATTCCCCTCTTTGCTTCCATGGACAAAGTTCTTTGGGTAACCAGGCTCCTAAGCGCACCACTCACACTTTCCCCCTCATCAGTTGTATGATTCACCTCATCCTTCATAGACCCATCTGCTGACATGTCCACTCCTAAATATTTGAATACATTCACTTCCTCCATACTCCCTCCCTCCAATCTGATATCCAATCTTTTGTCACCTAATCTTTTTGTTATCTTCATAACCTTACTCTTTCCTATATTCACTTTGAATTTTCTTCTTTTACATACCCTACCAAATTCATCCACCAACCTCTGCAACTTCTATAAATAACAAAAAAAGGCACAATACCGTGACTGGAACAATACACAAATAACCCGCACATAGAAGAGAGGAGCTTACAACGACATTTCGGTCCGGCTTGGACCATTTACAAAGTCACACTAACGAGAAGTATATACCCATCCTGCTCAACTTCTCGTTAGTGTGACTTCTATGTACGAGTTATTTGTGTATCTGCAACTTCTCTTCAGAATCTCCCAAGAGCACAGTGTCATCAGCAAAGAGCAACTGTGACAACTCCCACTTTGTGTTTGATTCTTTATCTTTTAACTCCACACCTCTTGCCAAGACCCTCACATTCACTTCTCTTACAACCCCATCTATAAATATATTGAACAACCACAGTGACATCACACATCCTTGTCTAAGGCCTACTTTTACTAGGAAATAATCTCCCTCTCTCCTAAATACTCTAACCTGAGCCTCACTATCCTCGTAAAAAGTCTTCACCACTTTCAGTAACCTACCTCCTATACCATACACCTGTAACATCTGTCACATTGCCCCCCTATCCACCCTGTCATATGCCTTTTCCAAATCCATAAATGCCACAAAAACCTCTTTAGCCTTATCTAAATACTGTTCACCTATATGTTTCACTGTAAACACTTGGTCTGCACACCCTCTACCTTTCCTAAAGCCTCCTTCTTCAACTGCTATCCTACTCTCCGTCCTACTCTTAATTCTTTCAATAATAACTCTACCATACACTTTACCAGGTATACTCACAGACTTTTTTTTTTTTTTTTTTTTTAAACAAGTCGGCCATCTCCCACCTAGGCAGGGTGACCCAAAAAGAAAGAAAATCCCCAAAAAGGAAATACTCTCATCATCATTCAACACTTTCACCTCACTCATACATAATTACTGTTTTTGCAGAGGTGCCCAGATACAACAGTTTAGTTGCATATATAAAGATATATAACATATCCCTCCAAACTCCCAATATCCCAAACCCCTCCTTTAAAGTGCAGGCATTGTACTTCCCATTTCCAGGACTCAAGTCCAGCTATACAAAAACTGGTTTCCCTGAATCCCTTCACTAAATATTACCCTGCTCACGCTCCAACAGCTCGTCAGGTCCCAAATACCATTCATCTCCATTCACTCTTATCTAACTCTCTCATGCATGCTTGGTGAAAATCTAAGCGTCTCGCCCACAAAACCTCCTTTACCCCCTCCCTCCAACCTTTTCAAGGACGACCCATACCCCGCCTTCCTTCCCCTACAGATTTAAATGCTCTCCATGTCATTCTACTTTGATCCATTCTCTCTAAATGAACAAACCACCTCAACAACCCCTCATCATCCCTCTGACTAATACAGTGGACCATCAACCAATGGCATTAGTCCGTTCCAGAGAGCTTGCTGTTAGTCGAATTTGCCGTTGGTCGAATTAATTTTCCCCATAAGAAATAATGGAAATACAGTGGACCCCCGCATACCGATTTTAATCCGTGCAAGAGGGGTCATTGTTATGCGAAATAATCGGTATGCGAATGAATTTTCCCCATAAGAAATAATGGAAATCAAATTAATCCGTGCAAGACACCCAAAAGTATGAAAAAAAAATTTTTTACCACATGAAATGTTAATTTTAATACACACAAACTGAAAAAGGCATGCACACTTACATGACACTTACTTTTATTGAAGATCTGGTGATGATTGATGGGATGGGAGGAGGGGAGAGAGAGTGTTAGTGTTTAGAAGGGGAATCCCCTTCCATTAAGACTTGAGGTGTCGAGTCCTTTTCTGGGGTTACTTCCCTTCTTCTTTTAATGCCACTAGGACCAGCTTCAGAGTCACTGGACTTCTTTCGCACAACAATCTGTCCATAGTGGCCTGTACCTCTCGTTCCTTTATGACTTCCTTAAAGTGTTTCACAACATTGTCAGTGTACAGGTTGCCAACACGGCTTGCAATAGCTGTGTGAGGGTGATTTTCATCAAAAAAGGTTTGCACTTCAAGCCACTTTGCACACATTTCCTTAATCTTTGTAGTAGGCAACTTCTTCAATTTCTCTCTCCCCTCCTCTGAACCAGTTTCCTCAGGTCTGGCCTCTTGCTGTTGAAGTTGATCTATCAGCTCATCAGTGGTTAGTTCTTCATTGTCCTCCTCCACCAACTCTTCCACATCCTCCCCACTAACCTCCAACCCCAAGGACTTTCCCAATGCCACAATGGATTCCTCAACTGGCATAATCCTCTCAGGGTTAGTCTCAAACCCTTCAAAATCCCTTTTGTCTACACATTCTGGCCACAGTTTCTTCCAAGCAGAGTTCAAGGTCTTCTTAGTCACTCCCTCCCAAGCCTTACCTATAAGGTTTACACAATTGAGGATATTAAAGTGATCTCTCCAAAACTCTCTTAGAGTCAGTTGAGTTTCTGAGGTCACTACAAAGCACCTTTCAAACAGAGCTTTTGTGTACAGTTTTTTGAAGTTTGCAATAACCTGCTGGTCCATGGGCTGCAGGAGAGGTGTGGTATTAGGAGGCAAAAACTTGATGTTAATGAATTTCATGTCCCCATAAAGTCGCTCTGCCACGTCTGTAGGATGACCAGGGGCATTGTCTAACACCAGGAGGCACTTAAGTTCTAATTTCTTTTCAGTTAGGTAATCTTTCACATTGGGGGCAAATGCATGGTGTAACCAGTCATAGAAAAAGTCCCTAGTGACCCATGCCTTACTGTTTGCCCTCCACAGCACACACAAATTCTCCTTGAGGACATTCTTTTGCCTGAACGCTCTGGGAGTTTCAGAGTGATACACTAATAAAGGCTTAACTTTGCAATCACCAGTAGCATTGGAACACATCAACAAAGTAAGCCTGTCTTTCATAGGCTTATGTCCTGGGAGTCCCTTTTCCTCCTGAGTAATGTAGGTCCTGCTTGGCATTTTCTTCCAAAACAGGCCTGTTTCATCACAATTAAACACTTGTTCAGGTTTCAATCCTTCAGTCTCTATGTACTCCTTGAATTCATGCACATATTTTTCAGCCGCTTTGTGGTCCGAACTGGCAGCCTCACCATGCCTTATCACACTATGTATGCCACTACGCTTCTTAATCTCTCAAACCAACCTTTGCTGGCCTTAAATTCACTCACATCAGCACTAGTTGCAGGCATTTTTTTAATTAAATCCTCATGCAACTTCCTAGCCTTTTCGCTTATGATCGCTTGAGAGACACTATCTCCTGCTAGCTGCTTTTCATTTATCCACACCAATAAGAGTCTCTCAACATCTTCCATCACTTGCGATCTTTGTTTCGAAAACACAGTTAAACCTTTGGCAAGAACAGCTTCCTTGATTGCCTTTCTGGTGCCCACAATAGTAGCGATGGTTGATTGGGGTTTCTTGTACAACCTGACCAGGTCGGCGATACGCACTTCACTTTCATACTTATCAATGATCTCTTTCTTCATCTCTATTGGAATTCTCACCCTTATTGCTGTAGGGTTGGCACTAGAAGCTTTCTTGGGGCCCATGGTCACTTATTTTCCAGAAAAAGCACCGAAAACACTGTAATAATACGAAATATTCCGATTGTATGCTTGGATGTTACCGCGGAGGCTGGCTGGTAAACAATGCCACCGGCGGCACATGTGAGGCTGGCTGAGGGCGCACATCGGACGCGTCTCGGACGAAAATCGGTGAGCGGGTTTTTAAGCGGTATGCGAGGCAAAATTTTTGCGATTAAAGCAAGCGGTATGCGGATTA